CCCTTCCCTCCCCTTCCATTACCTCCCCTCCCCCCGTCTCCCTCCCCTGCCCGTCTCCCTCCTTACGTACAGGTGAGCAGGTGGACAAGGTGGTGTTTGTTGTGTTCTTTGCGGGGGAGCGAGCACGTGTCAAGATTGGCAAGGTGGGTGGGGGAGAATACGGGGTGGGGACTGTGTTGGTATGAAATGGGCGGGAAAGAGTTCTCGTTCGTCTGCTGCTAACTCACCAATTTGAAACACCATGGTTCCCCCCCCCTCACTCCTTTGTGGTTCGTCTTTCCCCTCCTCCATATCACCACAATCACCAGGAGGACCGTGATCTTACGTACATACATACATACATACATACATACATGCATTTTTATTTCACGGCTCGCGTCTTTATCACATGTATATATGCACACACGCATTCGTTGATTCAATATCCCGCGTGCAGATTTGTGAGGCGTTTGGTGCCAACCGCTACCCTCTGCCGGAGGAGCCCAACCGTCAGCGGGCTATGGCCGCGGAGGTGGGGGGTCGGCTCACGGAGATGAAGACGACTCTTGACGTGGGGGACCTGCAGCGGACCAGGTTGATACAGAGGGTGGCGTCGGGTGAGAGTGAGCGGGGGGGGAGAGCGGTTTGTGTTTGTGTGTGTGTCCTGGGGGATGATGACTTTGGGGCGTTAGGCATGGGGGGTTGAGACATTGAACATATAGGGCCTAAGAGCAATCCTGGTTAGGTGGGTCGACAGGGTTGTGTGTGTGTGTGTGTGGAGGGGGGAGAGTATACTCTGAGTATATACTGAGTATATGTTGAAGACTTTCCTGGGGGATGAGGCTCTTTGCTTGCGGAGGTTGCTGGGGCTCCGTCTTTTTAGACGCCTCATTGTGGCCCGGGGGGGGTTTTCACACGACGTCTTCCTCCTGTTTACCCCCCTCCTCTTCCTCACGGGCATATCCACGGGCATACATACCCGCGCCTCACTTCATTTCCCCCTCCTCCGCCCCTTGCATCCATCCCCTTGAAGGTCTCCACTCCCACTGGCCGCCGATCTCCCACATTGCTGACGGTTGACCTGACCTGTCGTGTCCCTGCTCCCCCTTAAAAAAGCACACATGCACATTAACATACACACCTCCCTCGTCCTGCCCCTTTCCTGGCCCCACACGCGTTTTTCCCTGTTGCAGATATTGACTCTTGGACCTGCCTGGTGCGCCGGGAGAAGGCCATCTACCACACGCTGAACAAGTGTAATGTGGATGTGACCCGGAAGGTGTTGGTGGCGGAGGCCTGGGTGCCCTCCTTGGCGAGGCCCCGGGTGCAGGAGGCGCTCAGAGCGGTGGCGGATAGCGCCAACCAGGTCGGGGAAAGGGGAAAAGGAGGGGTTTAGGGGTGTAAGGGGGGGAGAGAGGGTCGAGGAAGTCTATCAGTGTAAGGAGCTGAGCAATGTGGTGGAGGAAGAGAGGGAAATGGTTTGGATCACGATGATGATGGTGATGATGATGATGATGATGATGATGATGATGATGAGGATGATGATGATGATGATGATGATGATGATGATGATGATGATGTCCGTGTACCACGTCCCGTCTCCCTTGCTCCGCCCCCCGTGCCCCGCGTGTTTCATTTTGCATTGTGTAGATTCTCTCTCCGCCTTTTATCTTTCCCTCGGCTGCTGCCACGTTCTCAACACCCCCCACCCCCACCCCCCCACCTCACCACCCCACACGTCACGTCACGGCACGTGGTAGGTTGGCGCCATCCTGCAGCCCCTGGCGACTCACGAGAACCCCCCCACCTACTTTAAGACGAACAAATTGACCAGC